ATATCTATAAAACATAAGGTGTAACGAACGAACATAACTCAAACTCTTCCTTTTGGCATCTCGACAATGGATGTATTTACAATAGATGTATTTAGAAAAACTGTACAACATCAACAAAGAAGAACCTAGTTTCGTAATGCAGTAGTGATAAATTAATACACATATATTTATAACCACCAATTGAGTGGGTTTTGTACAAAAATTTACGTTTAATAAATAACAGGCGGCCGAGCTACGGGCTTCAGCCCTAAACCCTAAAAAACTTACATATTAACAACTGGAAGAACATCTAAGAAAAAATAAACAATATAGATGATTAAAAAATGTGATCACAAAATCAATAAAAAACATATTATCAAACATATCAATTACAAAACAAAAATAAAGATCAAGTACTAACCTAACCAAACAATAGATCCGTGAACACTGTTGGAATAAACTTGAAAGAAACTTGAAGTGCAAGTTTCCTAATCCTAATCAAAGTGTATTTCTAGAAGGTTAGAATTAGAAAAGGAAAATTTAGGAGTTATCTAAAAGGAAATTTAGGAGTTATCTAAAAGGAAATTTGTTTATCTATTGGAATTAGGAGTTAGCTAATCCATTCTCTATATAAGGAGTTGCAGAGTTGTTGCAAACACTTATGAGTTGAGAGAGAGAGATTTGAGAGCCTTTAGTTTTTGAGTGATTTTTCTAAAGGTTAATAAAAGAGAGTTATTCTTTTACAAATCTGTGTTCTTAAACTTCTTTGAATTCTATAATTGGTATCAGAGCTTCAGGTTGTTGCTCAAGATATGGGGGATATCGTTCCTAGTACTCGTACAAAAGCACTGAATACTTCCTCAATCCATTGCCCTATGTTAAACTCAACCAACTATACCGTATGGGCCATGCGGATGAGGGTTTTGCTCAGAGTACACAAGGTCTGGGAGACTGTTGAAACAAAGGCGGCCGATGGTGAGAAGAACGATGTTGCTATGGCCCTGATTTTTCAATCAGTACCCGAGACACTCATTCTACAGGTAGGAAAGTTAGACACGGCGAAAAAGGTATGTGATGCAATCAAATCAAGACTTGTAGGAGCAGAAAGGGTGCGAGAGGCAAGGTTGCAGACTCTTATGGCCGAGTTTGACAAACTCAAGATGAAGGACACAGAGACGATAGATGATTTTAGTGGAAAATTGTCCGTAATCTGCTCAAGGTCGGCTGCTTTAGGAACGACTATTGAGGAACCGAAGATTGTCAAAAAGTTTCTCAAAAGTCTTCCGAGAAAGAAATATATACACATGGTAGCTTCACTTGAGCAGGTGTTAGACTTGAACACCACAAGCTTTGAAGACATAGTCGGAAGACTAAAAGCCTACGACGAACGTATTCGAGAAGAAGAAGAAGAAGAAACGCAAGATGATCAAAACAAGCTCATGTACGCAAACATGGAACCTCAGGAAAATCGTGACTACAGTGGAGAGAATAGAGGCAGAGGTCGAGGAGGACGCTTCTATAGCAGAGGACGAGGTCGTGGACGATTCAATGGAGCCAGAGATTTGTCAGAGATAACATGCTATCGATGCGACAAAACAGGGCATTACGCTTCTAATTGCCCTGACAGACTTCTCAAACTTCAAGAGACTCAGGAAGACGACGACGTTGATGACACACATGAAGCTGAACGACTCATGATGCACGAGGTGGTGTATCTGAATGAAAAAAGGGTGAAGCCAAACGAATTTGAAAAAAGCCGTGAAGGAGACAATGTTTGGTATTTGGATAATGGTGCTAGTAACCATATGACTGGAAACCGAAATTACTTTTCAAAGATTGACGAGACAGTCACAGGAAAAGTAAGATTCGGCGATGACTCTCAGATAGACATAAAGGGGAAAGGATCGATCCTCTTTGTCAGTAAAGATGGAGGAAAAAAAGTGGTTGCTAATGTCTATTTCATACCAGATTTAAAGAGTAATATTATCAGTTTGGGACAAGCAACAGAGGCTGGATGTGATGTTCGGATGAGAGGAGATTATCTGACATTACATGATCAAGATGGAAGACTCCTTATGAAGGCAAACAGATCAAAGAATCGTTTATATAAAGTAATCATGGAGGAGTCGCATGGAGCTGCATTGAAGCAGGTTTTGAGGTATTTGCGTGGAACTCTCAATTTTGGTGTTGAAGATTTCTCTAAGGAAGATTTCAAGTTTAAAGGGGAGATTGTTGGAATAAACTTGAAAGAAACTTGAAGTGCAAGTTTCCTAATCCTAATCAAAGTGTATTTCTAGAAGGTTAGAATTAGAAAAGGAAAATTTAGGAGTTATCTAAAAGGAAATTTAGGAGTTATCTAAAAGGAAATTTGTTTATCTATTGGAATTAGGAGTTAGCTAATCCATTCTCTATATAAGGAGTTGCAGAGTTGTTGCAAACACTTATGAGTTGAGAGAGAGAGATTTGAGAGCCTTTAGTTTTTGAGTGATTTTTCTAAAGGTTAATAAAAGAGAGTTATTCTTTTACAAATCTGTGTTCTTAAACTTCTTTGAATTCTATAAACACCACAGCCGTCTTGAGATCACTAAACAATAACCCTGCAAAAGAAAAAAACGTAAAAAAGAAGAAGAAAACAATAAGAACAAAACACAAAACTAAAGCTAGAGATGGTGGCTAACATATTAGAAAAACAAACAAAATAGATAAAACGAAAAATACAGAAGCATGATTCATAAGAATAAATATGTCTTACTCAAGAAACAAATATACATCGTAAGAACATAGAAGACAGACTAAATACCCCCATTATTTGGTCAACCTATAATCAGAAAAACAAACAATTTTATTAATAATTAACAAAGAACCATGAACTCTCAATGTAGTTAAAGATGAACTCACTTGTATGAGAGTATTTTAGAGGTGTCCTTCGATGAATGAGAAAAAAGTAGCCAAGACATAATTTCCCAACGACGACGATATTTTATTAGGTAAACCTGATTTCAACCTAGGTTTAGGTTAAATCAAGGGCTTGGATATCAAAAAGCTAAACGAACTAAGCTAAAACGTACGGCTAACAAAACTTACACAAAACCGATACGCTGAATGAAGAGAAAGAATGTGTTCACAACTTCAGTATCCTTCTCGGAAGATCAGCCTACAACAAAATAGCAACAACAACATAAAAAAAAAAAGCAAGCAAACTAAAAACAGGAATCAAAACAGCGTAGAACACAAAGAAAACAAAGAAACTCTTGCATATGAGAAAGTTTAACCTAGGGTTTTTCTAAAACGATATGGAAGAATGAATATATATAGGATACGTATTTATATAGGTTTTCAAGCTTAGGGTTTATATTGTTAGGGTTTCATTTAGGTTACATAAAATAATTAATATGGGCCGATGACATTCAAATCTACGCGTTTAGGGCTTATATTGCTAGGGTTTGGAGTTTATGTTGTGTTAAATAGTTATATGAGCTGACGATATTGATGTCCTCGAGTTTAATTAAAAAATTTTGGTTAATATTTTCGGAATTATTTTTTTTTTCATTAAAGGGTTAAAAAGTAATTAACCAGCTGAAACTCAATGAGAGGTCTCCATTGCTTATTTTGAACTCGCTTTTATTATATATGATTACATAATTAGAATAACAATGCATTATTCTAATATTCAACATCTAGTACGAAATGTAAATATTAAAGATGTTGAATTAGGGGGTAATGATGTTTCGAATGGTGAGTATGAAGACAATGATGATGATAACGTATCTACAAATGTTGTTATGAACTTGGATTCAGAAAATTCTGACAACGAGCATCAAACGGTTCAGTTAATTTTGTATTCAGATAATTTATTATTTAAGCATAGAATGAATATACAATTTGTTTAGAATAGCTTGAGTGCAACATTCCATTGGCGAATACGCCATGTGGACATCTTACATTGTATTCCTCAGTGAAATGTAAACATTTGCCCCCACGTTTCGAAACACTAGTATTAATATCAGTGATGTACAAGTAAATGAGATTGTAATTTTCCAAAAAGAAATGTTTAAGTCCAACTCATATTTTAACAATCTAACAATGTGCCACATCTTTCTTTAATTAGTAGTTATTTAGAATAAATAATATATATAATCAACATTGTAATAAATGTCGAGAAAATACTTTAGAAACATATTTTGATCTAATTATTTTATCCTAATTAAATCTAAATATTGCAAAATCTCGAATATATTTTCTTTTAAACGACTGATTACTACTTAAAACAATAATTATTTTAATATTTTCATAAGTAAAGAAATTAAATAGAATCTTGAATGCTTTCAACAATTTTGAAATTTTGTTATCTTTTCAACAATTTCTTTGTACATTTTTCAACCAAAAGAAATAATTAATATGACTAGTGTTTGTGAAAAATAATGTCCTTTCTATGTGAAAATTAATTGATTTCATATGTCGTCTATAGAATTGTTTTACAGGTACGGTCTCCAGAAGGTTCCAAGAAGCCTGGAACAGGCCACCTGTCCCTTGGCTATCTGTATCTAGAAGCGTAGGCCATATTGACAGATATAAATAGATTATGAACTGAGGGTTAGGAGGAGTGAGGGGTTATTACTTCATTGTCTTGTCTTAAGATCACTAATCCGGAGAAGGCAAAACTATGAAGGAATGATCCACACAGATACTGGGAGCAAAACTATGAAAGAATGATCCACACAGATAGTGGGAGGAAAGCGCTTAAAAATCAGATAAAGGCTTACTCATTTTTAGAGTTCCTCATTAATCCTTCCAACGAGTTGTATCCAGGATATCAATTCTCTAAATAGTTCATTCATGTAGAAAGGTTCAATAGATGGTCATCACTTGGCTAAGGTATAGGAGAATATATCTTAAGTTAATAATTAGGAACAAAGCTTGTGTGCTTAGATTTGTTTGGCTATTATTATTTCAAACTGGATCAGTTTGGGTGGCTTGATACAAAGAAGAAGTTCAAATTACTTTCAAAGGATTTTTAGAAAATATGTTTCCAACATGTTTCAATAGATTCTAGTTCTGAAATGTTTTTCTTTAAAAAAAAAAATACTATAAGATATCGCTAATCTATATGTCTATTTTTATCCTATTTTAGAGTAATTTCAAAATGAAGTTGGATTTTACTCCAACCTACTCCATCTTTACTTTAATATGGAGTGATGACTAAAAAAATGGGATAAACCTATTTTTTACTTCATATTTAGAGTAATTCTATTAATTATTCTACTTTTGGGTGAAATATAAAGTGAAGTTGGAGAAAATTTGGCCTTAACTCCATTTTTGTAGTGACATACTAGAAAAAAAGTCAACAATTTGAATATATGATATACTCTTTAGTTCTTACAACAAAAAAAAATGTTATTTTGAAACATTTCACACATGTTGAAAAAATTAGTAAAAGTTTTCTATTATCCCTTATTAATATACAAAATAATTTTTAACTTTCTAATTAATGCACAAAAGTGATAATATCAAAAATTAGATTTTTGTTGAATTTTGCATTGAAAATACAAAATGACTCAAACAAAAACCAAGAAGTCTTTTTGTTTTTTTACCTACAAAAACCAAGAAGTCTTAACATGACATTTTTTTCATGAAACTGGAGAGAATACAAAATAATTTCAACACAAATTTAGGAATCTGGTTTAACTTCATCATATTTCTATGATTTACAAAGATTTGTTTTTTTTTTCTCATTTATGATATGCTCATGTCGGAGAATTTAACAAATCAAAATTTCTAGATAGTACCCAAACAAGATCAAAAAATTTCATAATCCCCAATGGTCACGTCTCATTTACAAAATATAATCATGTGAATAATTTTGGGTTACTAACAGATGAAACAGATTAATCAGACAAAACTGTCGGTAATATTAATATGTTCACTAATATATGAATAGTGTATAAAGCTTTTCACCAAGACTTCAAGGTGATAAGCTCACTTGTTAACTGAAAAGAAGGTATAATAATGCATATTTGAACCCAGAATCCACTGCAAATGCAAGTGCTAACTCAGATTCTATAAACAACAAAGGCAAAGCAATCATAATATATAGTCTATCTGTAACCATCTAACTGATAAGAAGTAATCACGAAACAAGCTCAATTTGGACAACAAAAAACCTAATGCAAGCTGAATTGAGCAACATAACTCAAATTCTGAACAAAGAAAGTTTGTAATCTCACAAGATAGTATCATCATGAAGATTTCGCTGGAAACGCTTAAGGTGAGGGTACCTTTAGAATCTAAGATATCTTCCTTGTTTCTCAGCATATCACTCACTCTTCCTTCTCATCTGCACAACATACAAGTATGATTTATGAAATTCATTGAACAAATTCTTCATATGTGCAATGATTTGCACCATGGGAACATCACCGCAAGAAACACGCAAAAAGAGAAACCAAAGATTTGGCAAAAACCTAACACCTAAGACAAAGAGATGAGATTCTATGGAGTATCAACAACAAGGTAATGTACCAGGAGATGAAGAAGATTCTTTTGATGGAGTTAGCCATTGGTTCTATAAACAGAGAAGAACCTAAAAGCAGAGTTACTTGTGATTTATCGAAAACTTGAATGCTGATCAAATTCAGAACACTCAACATTATATAGGTCACAAATCATTAACATTAAATCAGTGGACTCATTTGTAATATATTGGTCATATGATCCAGAGCTTAACCATGCTCTGGAGTTGTTTTGTGATTCTATGATCCGACCTTAGAGCTCAAGTCATTGATGATCCCTTAATCAAATTCATGAAACAAAAGACATGATCCGTGATAAGTAACATCAATTTCTCAGAAATCCACATTTATTAGAAGATATATCTTTTCATCTCCGAAACCGGCTTCCAAAATGGTTGTAACCATTCGTGAAGCAGATTCAACACGAGTGCAGGTTACAAGAAATTCACCCAAAAAAAAAACATAAAATTCATATTTTTCCACTAGTTAACTGAAAAGGTAAAATCTCTATCCTTAGAAGCTAGTTTGCTTCATTTTGAATATCATCAGACTTGTAAAAGATGATCACTGAATTGGCCTAACGTTCTTGATTTCACTAAGGCATAACTCAAGAGATATCTTTCAAGAATCTTCTTTAATGGTGTTAGGATCACCTCTTGTTTACAACCTAACAGGAAAATAACAATAACATGTTATGACTGTGGTGCCAACTAATCCTCTTCGAGACATCCCACTAAAGAGTTCCATGCCATCCTCTACCCTTTTACACTTGCACAATCCATTTATATGAGTACCATTAGTCACAACGTTAGGGAGAATATCTTTGCTAACCATCAAAGTAAACATCTGCTTGGCCTCCATTAGACGGTCTTGCAAACAAAACCCGTTTATCAATGAGCTATAGGTGAAAACATTAGGAGTTATAGACCTTCTGATCATCTCCTTGTACAATTCTTCGGCCTCCAAAAGCATTCCCTCTTTTACAAACGCATCGATCAACGCATTGAAGGTGACTGCATTGGGGTTGATTTTCCTCTCAATCATATTACTAACTAGTCGAGAAGCATCACTCCATCTTCCGTAGTTACTAAGGTATCTTATGAGTGAGTTGTAGGTAAGAAAATCTGCTCTGACTCCTTTGTTCTCCATATCTTTGAATAGGTCGAGTGCATCATTCACATCTCTGTATTTGCAAAGACCATCAATGAATGTGTTGTAGATCACAACACCAGCCTTTATATCCCCTTCCTCCATCTTCTTGAGCAGATTTAGAGCCAAATTAATATCACCTCTCTTACATATTCCATTAACTACTGCACCGTAAGTTACCAGATTTGGTCGGCAACGTTTCACAACCATCCGTTCAACTAAAGCCACTGCTTCGAAAACTTTTTTTGTTAAGAAAAAGTCCATGGAATAGAGTTGTGAATGTCACTGTGTTAGGTTTATATCCCATCTCAACTATTTGATCAACCAAAGCTACTGCATCTGAAATCCTATTAGCGTGACAATATCCATTGAGAAGTGAATAAAGCGTGACTATATCAGGATCATACCTGTGACATCCCGATCCGGACGCGGACCGGCGATATCAATCCTAAGTCTCCCCAACCGCCCTTCCCAGTGAGCCCAACGTCCTCTCTAGGCACGTGGGCCCAACGTCCTTTCTCTAGGCCCGTTGGCCCACCACTGTCCGACGGTCGAGAGTCGTTAGTCCGAAAAGCTTGTAAGACTTGTCTACTGTCCCTTCAATCACCACATGATCTTTCCTTGTGCTTTGTCCTCACTCGCATGGTACCGCACGGGATGTTACAATTCTCCCCGACCGTTAGTCCGGAAAGCTTGTTAAAGTTGTCTATTATCCCTGCAATCACCACATGATCTTTCCCCGTGCTTTGTCCTCATTCGCACGGTACCACAGAGTACTTCCCGGTAGGTCACCCATCCTGAGATTACTCCAGCATCAGCACGCTTAACTCTGGAGTTCTCTCAGCACAATTGACCGGAAAAGATAAGTGCACTTTGTTGACATAGGTAGCCAAATCAATTCTTATAAGTCTTTCCATATACTGGAAATCGGGATGTTACAATACCCGAGTTTCATCATCTTACCAAGAATAGCTAAACCAAGAGAAAGTTAGGAGCTGCAGCAAAAACAGTTAATCAAGATACTGTAAGTAAAGAGATCATGTTGAATTCTCAACTTTTGTATCTGCTCGCCTAGAGAGATGACAACATCGAACTTCTTCATCTTGGCTATGGCACTCAACAACTTGTTGAACTCAATAATGGAAGGAAATGGACGACTTTACCATTTCACTGAACAACCCAATTGCATCTTCTAACTTAATATCACGAAGATGTGTATCATTTTTCTTAACTTTGTAATAATCAGGGATAGTTTCTCTTATTTGGAGGTCATAGAAGGGCTAGAAATTGTATTGTTCACCGCTATTTCCAAGTTGCGCTTGTAGGCAGTGTATTTCAGATTTGATGTAACACTTATAACCTTAATGAATGTTGCATTGTCGGTGGTGGTGGATGGTATATGATCGATGGTACATGGTGCATTGTATATGGTGGAGGTGTATCAATGTACCATAGATGGTGTATGGTCTATGGCGATGTGGATGATGTTTGATCGATGGTGGATGGTGTTGGAATAAGCTTGAAAGAAACTTGAAGTGCAAGTTTCCTAATCCTAATCAAAGTGTGTTTCTAAAAGGTTAGGATTGGAAAAGGAAATTTAGGAGTTATCTAAAAAGGAGATTTGTTTCTCTATTGGATTTAGGAGTTAGCTAATCAATATCTATATAAGGAGTTGTAAAGTTGTTGCAAACACTTATGAGTTGAGAGAGAGATTAAGAAAGGCTTTAGTTTTTGAGTAATTTTTCTAAAGCTAATAAAAGAAGTTGCTTTTATTAATTCTTGATTTAAGTCTCAATTCTATAATTGGTATCAGAGCTAAATCGATCTCTAGAGTTATGGTAATTTCCTTGTTAGATTAGGAGGTATCTAATTCTAATAGGAAAAAGAAAGTGGCTTGGCAAAGCTGTGCAAACCACTATATATATGTAAGTCATTAATGATGTTGCATCTAAGAGTATTTGGATGCATCAGTTTTGCAAAGACAGAGGCTCAACACTTGAAGAAGCTGGATAATAGATCACGAGTACTTGTTCATTTAGGAACGGATCCGGGATCAAAGGCGTATTGGTTAGTTGATCCTAGAACTAAGAAAATAGTTGTGTGCAGGGATGTGATCTTTGATGAAAGCAAAGACTGGAAGTGGGGTGAGAAGGAAATTAGTAACTACACTGGAATTTCTGTAATCGGTTTTGGAGAACACAATTATAATAACTCAAGGGGAGATGACCATGATCTCGAAGAAGAAACAGAGGAGAAGGAGGAAGAGAGTTCCAAAGAAGAGGTCACTGAGCATGAAATACAAGTTCCCAAAACCGAGACAGAGATGATCAATCAAGGAGAAGAAGCCAAACAAGGACTAAGGAGATCAACAAGTCCAAAAGTAAGACCGAGTTATCTCGATGACTTCGTCACTTTGGCCAAGACTGATAGTTAACACCTATTGCTAGCTATAAACGAAGAGCCATGGGATTGCAATGAGCAAAAGGCTGATATCTTAACCAAGGCACTAGGAAGAAACAAGTTCAAGGAGATGAGAGATCTCATTGGAGTTTTAGGTGTGTCACAAAAGGATTTCAAGCTTAAGGGGGAGAATGTTGGAATAAGCTTGAAAGAAACTTGAAGTGCAAGTTTCCTAATCCTAATCAAAGTGTGTTTCTAAAAGGTTAGGATTAGAAAAGGAAATTTAGGAGTTATCTAAAAAGGAAATTTGTTTCTCTATTGGATTTAGGAGTTAGCTAATCAATCTCTGTATAAGGAGTTGCAGAGTTGTTGCAAACACTTATGAGTTGAGAGAGAGATTAAGAAAAGCTTTAGTTTTTGAGTAATTTTTCTAAAGTTAAATAAAGAAGTTGCTTTTATTAATTTTTGATCTAAGTCTCAATTCTATAGATGGTGAATGCCACTGAATGGTGAATGGTGTTTCGTATAGATCTTAAATTTATGATGATTAAGGGTGATATTTAAACATCAAAGTGCCTATTTTACAAAGCTTTTTTAAACTATCAAGTTCGCAAATTAATGCTTCTCAAAGTACCTGTCTGAGCAATTTTCTCTATATATAAGTATGTTTTTATACAAATAAAGAACTATACAGAAGAGGTTCTTCTCCCCTAAAAAAAAAATTGGAGATCATTTCTGAATATGACTCACTCTGATCAGTCAAATGTGCACGAGAGAGATCGAACCATTCACATATGTTTCCCCATATATCAACTTTTTTGAGGCCATTGAACTAGAGGGTTCATTAAACAACTTATTTCAAAGCTAATTCTGGTGATTCTGGAGTCCAGTTATACAATATTATGGTATCAGATTCCAAAAGTACGTATAAGTTCGTAAGGAATTATCTTTTTTTTTTTTTGTCTAACTTTCGGTCCCAAAATATTATTTATTCTTTTCCTTGTGGGTTTCCCCACAGATCTTGTTCCTTATTAATCTTATCCTCTTCATTTCTCGAATCTCTCTCTCTCTCTCTCAGCATGAACCCTAGTTGCCAAGGAATAAAGTCACATGTTTCTTCGACCACAAGACTCTTTTTCTTCTTGTCATCTTTTAGCATAAAGGAATCTATCTTTTCCTCTTTGTTCCCTATATTAATTGTGAGATCGAGAGGATACCCCTCACAAGAAAATATTGGTGATCAAAATCAGGAATGTCGAAAGTGAGCTTTCTTGAGCTGCAATACAAGCTCTCTAAAAACAAGATGTTGAGGAAGCCTTCAAGATTGTTCTCTAGAGACCGAAAGTCCTCAGGCTTGTCTTCACCAGGATCCGGAGGCGTCTCTCAGCCTACAATCAGCGAGATGAGACGTGTTTTCAACAGGTTTGACTGGGACAAAGACGGGAAAATCTCTCAGACAGAGTACAAGGTGGTGCTTAGAGCGTTAGGACAAGAGAAGGCGATTGAGGACGTGCCCAAGATCTTTAAAGCAGTGGATCTGGACGGTGATGGCTTTATTGACTTCAGGGAGTTTATAGAAGCGCACAAGAGAAGTGGAGGGGTTAGATCTTCGGACATAAGAAACGCTTTTTGGACTTTTGATCTGAACGGCGATGGGAAGATAAGCGCAGAGGAAGTGATGTCGGTTTTGAGGAAGCTTGGGGAGAGGTGTAGCTTAGAAGACTGCAAGAGGATGGTGAGAGCTGTTGATGCAGATGGAGATGGATTGGTTAATATGGAAGAGTTCATGAGGATGATGACTCAAACTATTAACATTGTCTGAAACAGAATCTCTCTTTTCTCTCTGTTCTCTATTATTGTAATCAAAGTTTCATTATTTATACAAATCTAATTTCAAAACATGAAATCCTACAACTTTGAACCGACATGATCTCCAATGCTCCACCAGTATAGGACCAATGATAGATTAGATAAAATGCAATAGTTTATTCAAAAGTTAGTATGGTGGAGAAACACAAACTTTATACTTCATGTAAAAGGGTCTATAGAAGACGAAATTCTATTTCATTCCCAACTGCTCGCAGAGTTTTGGAGAGCTATACATGATGGGAAAACGAAGCCACGGAAAACGCCGGTCAAGAAACTGAGCTCTACCAGTAATCGCCACAAGAACATTTACCATCTCTGAAATGATGGAAACGTTTGATGTCTCTCACAATCAACTCCCTACCAACCATTTTGGACATGATCTTGATATAGTTGTGACAGTCCCCACAGACACGTATATTCTTCAGGATTGTGAGGGACTTTCGAGCCGGCGTGTTCATGAGACCATAAGCAATCGCTAACCTCTCGCCGTGGTGGAGCAGTGCCTCTTCTTTGGCCTCTTGGTCAATGTCATGCATAACCCATCGGGTGTCGGGAACATAAACCGGTCCCTTCATTGCAGCCATCTCCTTTGCTTTATCCTTGTAAAAAGTCTGATTCCGAAACTCGAGGATCCTACTTTTACTAGCAACCATACTTGTGTCCTTGAATGATTTGGGTGGAGGGGTGGGAATTTTGTGGATTACAGCCTTTGAAGGGTCAAGATCAACCATCAAATTCTCTGCAAACTCTTCTAAATCGACATCTCCATGTAGCTTACCATAGTTCTTCATGGTTTCCCAGAAATCAGCTGTGGGTTTAAATGGAAGCTCGTGGATGTACTGCTCTGCCTCAACAAAATGACCGCATTTTCCAAGAACATCTAAGATACCCAAATAATGTTCTGTTCTTGGACTAATCCCAAACTCGTTTTCCATCGAATCAAAATGCAAAAACGTTTCTTTTACACCACCCACAGTAGCACAAGCCAAGAAAACTGTAAGAAACGTTTCTTCATTTGGTTTCAAGCCTTGTTTCGTCATCTCCTCGAACAAATAGCAACGCATCATCTCCCATTCCGTTATCACAATACACACGCATCATCGCATTCCAAGAATCCATATCCTTATCAGCCATGTGATCAAACACTCTCTTAGCATCAGTGACACTCTCACATTCCCCGAACATACTATTCACCACATTGTTCAGTTTCGGATCGCCTCTAAACTGAGACCGCGGGAAATGATCATGTACCTTCTTGGAATGCACAAGCGATTTCAGATTCGCACAAGACTCAAACAGGAAATAGAAGCATTCTTAGGCAAAGCTCCCTTATCAAGCAATTCTATAGCATCTGTATATCTCTTAGCTTGCACAAACGCAATACCTCTTCGACAGTAAGGGGCTATCACATTCACACTTGGTCGCTGCGGATAATACTGGCTCTGAGAGATTTTATGAACATTCTGATACTGGCCATGATTCTGATAATTGTTACCGGATCCACCGTTTTAAGGATTGTGACCACCGTGTTGAAGCCTGTATCCACTGTGTTGAGGATTTTGTGGAGTCCATTGATTAGTGTTCGTCTGAATTTGGAAACGCTGAGAATCGAAGCCCGGAGGTGAATATGGCCTTTAAGGCGGCGGAGACTGAGGATTCCGGTGATAATCGCTCGTGACGGCGGATGTGCTCAGGTTTTTGCTCGAAATTGAGTTCAGGTGGAATTGAGAAGATATCCGGGGAGAAGACGAACGTACATGAATCAGAGAACGGGTTATTACAAGCTTCTGGCTCCGTGCGCAGCGAATCGCCATTAGAGAAGACATTTCTTCAAGTTTTTGGAGCAGAAATGGTAAAAAGGCAAAAACCCTGTGGAAACCAGTTGATCGATCAGAGACGAGAATAACGCAGGAAAGAAATAAGAATTTTTAAAACAATCCTTCAAGTATCCAACGTTTACAAGTTTAGCCCTTTTGTTCCAAAAATTAAGAACAGCTACCCAGCAAACTTGAATATGTGCAATACAACCCCAGATGGCCGATACAAACCTGCAGACAAAACTATGTATGTGAACATCCAAGATACAACCTACAAAATAGCAAAGCAAACTCTGCTCTCTCTGGCCTCTGCCTTGTCTTTTATTGAGTATGCGAAAATATCATAGTTGTCATAATTTGAAAATATTGAGTAAGCAAAGTCATCTAGTGCTATTACACAATTTGAGGTTATTTGTTTTTACTTTGATAATGTTTTAAAACCAACTCTCTGAAGATTGAAGACAGAGGAACTCAAGCTACGATGATAACATACACTAGAGATACATTACAGTGTGTTGATTTATGAACACAAGTAAAAGATATATATATCTATCTACAGACTTATTTTGATTACTCTCAGGTATGTTAGGTCGTAGTAATCGTCACTCTATTTACATCTTCCGCATCCTATACAACCCCTCTCTTCTTCTCTAAACACATCTATTTCTTCACATTACGCGTGTACCTTGCTCGGCTTTTCCCCCAAGTTCATCATCATAGTCTTGAACGAAGTAAGCGTTTCTTGAAACCAAGATTTGAGTTCTTACGGGAGGAGGAAGTGGCGTATGGTTGGCCATTGAGAGAACCTGCAAATCTGATATCCCAGCCTTCGATGTTCTTTGGAACACACGAGTCGAACAGAAACTGCCCGAGAACGCTGTGAGCGTTTATGCTCGTTGGTTGGATCGTGCGGAAAGAGGATCTTTCTCTCTGCTCTTCTTGCGAAGACGATGATGGATCGTTGTTGTTGTTGTTGCTGCTTTGATACGGCACTGAGCTTGGTAAGAAAAAGTGGTCACATGGACCAGTGGCTACTCTTATTAGGCTTTGGTTAGAGTTCACAGCTACTTTCTGAAGGTCGCATATTAACTCAGAGATCTCATCATGCGTGCGAGCTCTCTCTCCAAGCTGTCGGATTTTCTGTAGGTGAACTGATATGGCCTTCTCTAGAAAGTTGGAGATAACAGCCCGGTATTGTATAGGGTTATGTGTGTAGTGTCCTGAAGCAAAACAGACAAAAAAAGGCTTAGACTTTGTAGCATTGAGAATCAAATTGAGAAAGCTATGTCATGACTAACCTGCATGAGGAGAATTTTTCCACTTGACAACTTTTACTTCTCCTCCAAGTTCCTGTAATTGATGGGTGAAGCTTGAAATCACTTGGTGAGGAGCAAGGTCATCATTCTCCGAGCACAAAATGAGATATGGAGCCCCAATTTCCTGGAAAAACACAGAAGGAAAAGGTATCTTATCTAGCTAACCAAATTGAGAAGCCAAATTCAGAGACCTCGGTGGAAACTTACAACCGATGAGTAGAGTGCCTGCCAATACTCACTGCGTTGGGATTCAAATCTTGTAAGGTATAAACCGTCAAGCCCTGAAGAAATCCCTTTGGCCAACCAAGATACTAGCCTTGAAGGACCAGACATTCGCCGTATGGTGGGATGTAGTGCGAACTTCACATTCAAATCACTCGTGAAATCCAATGGGCCAGAGTCGTAGAGATGTCCAGAGAGACAGTTTTTAACCAACTGGCTATCATCCTTCACATTTTCGAAAAAAAAAAAAATGGTGGATGAGTTGAAATTGAACTAAATGACCTGAAATTTAATGACTTGAATAAAGCTGTATCAAAGTCAATTCTCACCAGATGAATTTGAGCTTCACAATCATCCATGATCAACTGCATTGTACAATGTTTATAGCGGTTTTTAGAATATGATTGGAGAAAACATAAACGAGCACAAAAAAAAAAATGCTGAAAGATTAATCCTTTTAAAGCTTGCCTGTAATACTTTGTACATGCAAGCTTTAGGAGCTCCAGAGAAAGCTAGAAAGATAACAGGACATGGTCTGGTCTTTAGCTCCTGAACAATAACAACACATCAAACCAGTAAGCAAAAACGGTCTGAGAATTCATTAAATTACTTAACCAGAACTTTAAAGATGAAAACCCAGAAAAGTTTAGCCGGAATCTTACCTCAACGAGCTCAGCAAGAAGGTGAAATGCTAGAGATAGAGCCATTTCTGGGTAAAACCTGAAAGCATCAAACTAATTTAAGAGATTCTCATACAGTATCAAAACTGGAATATCCAAAAAGCTAGATATGGAATCTTGACAAGAATTGCAAAAAGAAACAATAAAAAAAAATTCCTTGAATGCAAAAAACAATTTCTCATCTCTTCTATCCAGTTTTTGTTTTCTTTTCTCAACTGGCCAAATCGATTTTGAAGAAAAGCCTAAGAATTAAGGGACAAAAGATTCAAATAATGCTGTTTTTACAAAACCTAAGCTAAAACAAAACCATTGCTTTGCTAACTACAAGAGATCCACATCTAAAAACTCCGCTTCCTCTTCTCGAAATTCTCCGATTTGCTTTGTCGTCGGCAAAATTTAAGTCAGAGAGAGAGAGAGAGAAAATCGAATTCAAAGAAAGGAACTTACGCAGTGAGAAAATCAGCGCGGCAAACAAGCGAATCCCAACCAAGAGAAGAGTAGAGATCAACGAAATTCGTGAGATGATTCTCGCTAATCGAGCTCCAAGCGAAGATCACGACGACGCCGTTAGATCCACCGTCGTCCATCTCTTTATCCGCCTTCTTCCCCCAGTAGACCTTTCCTCCGCCGATCATTTTTCCGGCAACTGTTAGCTCGACGCCGAAACTCGGTCTGAGATTTGGTGAATTTTTTATGAACCACTCGAAAAAGTTGAGAGATCTTTGAGATTACGGTGGTGGTTGTTATCACCCACGTCAGATCGTTTCTGTGTGTATATTACCTCTGGCGTAGTTTAGCACACAGGGGTTTATCATGCGCCTTTTCATACGACGTCGTTTGCCACGTCATCGGCACTTACCGTGGAAGTAACGGTCAAATACAATAAACAGATTTTTTTTTTTTTTTATAAGGGTTTGATTGAATATATTAAAGACATCCTAAAGTAGTGCGTAACGGAAGTTGACGAAAAAGTAGGGATAAAAATGACAGTATGCCCCTTGCTCCCAAAAAGTAGACATTGCTTTTTCTGTGGTGGATAGGGACCACACAAACTTAGCTAAGCGCAGACGCTACCATCGTTTCGACACAGTAGCAACACAAACTTTTTGCTTCTTATTTGCCCGCCCAAAAGATTTTTGTCGTGTTGTAAATCTGTACGGATAGGTTTAGTGGAGGGACCCTTGGGATCAAATAAATAAGACGAATATTTCCATAAACCGCCGCTAGTAAACAATTGTTCTAAGGTTTGTCTTTTCTTGGTTTCGAAAGTATAACTACTTCTGAGGATAAAGTATGACTACTTAACATATGTAGTTGGATATTTATGACCTCTTGACCTTTGTTTGTGTAGATGGCAGGAAGACAAATGGTGTTGTTGGTGAAAGGAAAATGGTTCGAATAGACCAACGGAGTGTGGACTTTCCTTACGGACCGCAGAGGGAATACTAAAGCGGTTTTCCTAAGCTCGCAGATGAGTTTTCGTGAAGCTGTGAAGCTCGTTAAGGAGAAACTGGGTATCAAAGAAGATGTGGGCGTAACACTTACTTTCCAGTGGCCGTCATTCATGCTGATGGACGACGGCCGCGACGCACCACCTGTGCTGATGTCTTCGGATGATGAAGTGTCTCTTTTTGTGGAAATGAGATCGGAAATCGACCAGCTGAATCTGTGCGTCACCACAGATGACAATACAGACGATGTTGTGAGGGTTCTTGGAAGAAATGAAGAAGCTTTGGTTGTCTACGGCATGACGGAGGAGGATGGCGCGGCCGGTGACGGTAAGCAGACTATAATAGCTACTTATGGAATAGTCATTTAGATGTGATAGGTAGTCTGTCTACAACGTTTGAGTAGTCAACTATGAAAGACTCAATATACTAATAGAACATAGTTAACTACTTCGCGGGTAATATCATAAAGTGATTTAGTAAAAAACTACTGACGTAGTAGTCGACTATATTGTGCAGATCCGTATGAGGAAGAAGATTGTGAGAGGCTGGATGAGTTAGCTGTAATCAGTTTGGCTGGATAGGAGCCGGACTTTGTGAAGGATGATGATTTCCCCGGTGAAGGTATCCATGAAAATGTGGATGATGCTGGTGAGGTACTCGTCGAGGACAACAATGAAGCTGCGAGGGCTCGAGATAAAAGGAAGGCTAAGGTGCCGGATGGTGAACCTGGTTATGTACCGGCCAGTCAAGGCTTGGAAAAAGGAGAGTGTAGCCGCCCTTCAGGCAGGTACAGTTGCGCAGAAGAAACTATTAATGGTGTTTTCTCTGAGACGGAAGAGGTGCCAGCTATGTTTGGAAGGGATGCTCCGCCGGTAGTGGATGATGTTTCTGATGATGGTATGTAGTTATATATATATAGTTAACTACCTTAATAGATGTATACCAATGTTTCTGATGAAGTTCAACTAATTGGATTTTCAGGGATAGACAGTGCTTTGAGAGACATGCGATACGAAGGCGATAGAATTTTTGTTGGGAGAATTTTCAGAAACAAAGTGGAGTGTAAAATTAAGTTGGCTATTCACGCCATCAATAAGAAATTCCACTTCAGGACCCCGCGTTCAACACCAAACTACATGGAGTTTCTTTGCATCAATCCGACATGTCCTTGGCGGATATACGCTTCCCTCATGGATGCCACTGGGAACTTCCAAATTAAGAAGGCGAAGTTGAAGCACACATGCCCCATTGAAGACCGTCGGAAATATCACAAACAAGCGACAACACAAGTGATTGGTGAGCTGATCCAGACACGATTTGTCGTGGGAGAGAAAGGCCCCAGCCCAATCGAAATCCAGCGAATCATGCTTCAGGAGTTCCAGGTATGATAATTTTTGTATTACCTCTAGGCAGTGTAGTTGGCTACGGGTAGTTGTATATTTGGGGACATAAATGATGTACCGGCCTTTCTCGGTTTACGAAATGTAGGTCAACATTTCATATTGGAAGGCATGGAGATGCAGGGAACTTGCATTGGAGAAAGCATTTGGATCGGTCTCTGGAAGTTTTGCATTGCTCCCTTCTTATTTGGAGAACCTACAGAACTCTAACCCTGGGACAGTTTGCAAAACTGAGTTCGGAGTGGACAAAAATGGTTGTCAAAGATTCAAGTACCTATTCATATCGTTTTCTGCATCAATTGCTGGACTCCCATACCTAAGGCCAGTGGTGATTATTGATGGTTAGTTGCTAACTATTTATAGACGACTACGTTGATAAGTAACTACCCATGATACATAATAAATCATAAATACTTCTCTATTATTTCAGGGACTCATCTAGTTGGCAGATATGGGGGCTGTCTCATATGTGCTAGTGCTCAAGATGGAAACTTTCAGATCTATCCAATTGCATATGCAGTTGTGGACAGCGAGAATGATGCATCTTATGAATGGTTTTTCAATTGCTTGAAAACTATCATTCCCAATGATCATGATGTTATGTTTGTTTCAGACAGACACGAGAGCATCTACTCTGGACTAAAAAGGTGTGAGATAATGACCTATTACATGCCAAAAAGTTACTTACATATAATTGTCTATCAATAACCAACCATTTTCGTATATTAGGTGTACCCTGCTGCCGGTCATGGGGCGTGTCTTGTTCACTTAGCAAGGAACATAACTGCACGGTTTAAAGAAAGTCGGCTACCTGGTCTGATGGTCAGAGCTGCTAAAGCATATACCGTGTACGAGTTTCAACAGATATTTGCAGATCTCCAAAGCGTAAGTCCTGGCTGTGCGAAGTACTTACTGGATTTAGGGTTACCACACTGAACGAGGGCATACTGCATCGGCGAATGGTACAACGTAATGATCACAAACGTTGCTGAATCTCTCAACAAAGTCTTGAAAGAGTGTAGGGAATTTCCATTAATCTCAATGCTTGAGGCCATACGGATGAGTCTAATCAGCTGGTTTGTAAGGAGAAAAGCTGCATCCGCCGTAGAGCAACATTCTATCAATCATAAAGTCCGTGACATGTTGGACGATAACTTCTATGATTCCACCGAGTTAAAGGTAAATAATAGTCGATTACTGGACTATCGGATACCATTAAGTAGTTCCCGTTGTATATTTGTAGACATTTACTTATATCTGACTATGTTGATGTGTAGGTGGTTGTGGTCGGAGAGGATGAGTACGAAGTTTACAACAGACAGGGGGAAAGGTTCGAAGTGAACCTTGTTTTAAAGTCGTGCAGCTGCAGGGAATTTCAAATGCTTCTCATACCATGCCGTCATGCAAAGGCAGCTTCTTCGTGCAGCAAAACTGAGTTAGATAAGCTCGTGGGGGAGGTGTACACCACAAGGTACTGACGATCCCTTTATGAAGGAGCTTTCCATCCAGTACTAACTCCTGTAAGTTCTGGTGGGACCGAACTACTACCACCATTGATGCGCCGACCCCAGGGCGGCCAAGGAAAACAAGGATCCCATCCTGTGGAGAGCTGAAGGTAATAATTATTTGTTAGTTAGTAGTTGTTTGTGGAGTAGTTGACTATATCACTTGTGTTCTACACGGGGGTCGTAATCGTCTACTGACGTTCTCTAACTTAACAGAGGCGTTCAAGGAAGGCGGTGAGGGTTTGCAGCAGGTGTCTTGGAAAGGAACACAAAAAAATGAAAGGTAAGTGAAGTGGCATGGGTTATGTTGGGATGAGGCAGAGTAGAATCGGATATGATGCACTTCAAATGCAAGTTAAGGGTCTACATTTTCTGTGGTTCTTATCTCCTGCTAATTTGAAGCTTTTTTGGAACTATGCATCCTAAAATAATTTATTGGATCGTGGATACTGTTTTGTAATGCCTCAGCTACTTTCCTCCCTTAGTTATTTTGTTATTTTTGAATTTGATACTACGCATCGTAAAACATGTTCTTTTCCTTTTGGATGTGATTACTAATTGCCCTTACGCATTTTGAATCTCGATTAAAACATCGTATGATTGATAGTTGTCAACATCTTGTACCAACATGATGTGCTCGGCACTAATCTTGGCATTTTTTGAGGTAGGACATACAATACCATCAATGAGGAGTAAGCATGCCAACTTGAATCTGGTAGCTTTATCTTTGTACGGTCGGCCGGCAAGGGTAGTCGCTATCCATCCAGGGATTGCATTCCTCTCAGCACCAAACAATTCAATGGTATATTTATTGACCTTGTCTTCCTTCAACTTTTTCGGTAGTGGTAAATTGGAGCAATCTAACCCCGTCGTAATAGCAAACTCCCTGATAGAAAAGTGAATTGGCTGGCCAGCAAAGTGGCACCAAAGCTCTTTTTTTTTTCTTTGTAACCAACTGCCTCGACAAAATGAAATGAAGAAATCTGACTGATGATGCTATCTTGTTGCCTGCTTCAATAAGTTTTCCAAATTGGGACAGCGAGAGCTTCTCCATATGGTCTTCTTCCAAAGCATGACTGATTGTGTCGAGATAAGGTAGCTGGAAGTAGGTATTCACCTTCTTATTCGCCGGTTCGTTGCCTAAGGCAAATAGTTGGTCCGGAAACCGAGTCATAGCTTGTCTTCTGAAAAATATATAAATGTCTATAAGTCACTAACTACCGGTTGTAGATAATAGCCAAAAATTAGCTAAATGACTACTAGTAATCAAATAACATATTCATGTATACACCATTTACGATCGAGTATACAATCGAATTCGACATAGACTGGCTTGTGATAAAATAGTTGTTTACTTGTAGATGAATTTTTATAATATCAGACCAAACGAAATTCGGGTGTCACCCCGAAATCCCTAGAATCCCAAGTTAGAAATAGTTGAAAACCAAAACACAAAAACCTAGATCTGTAATTGGGGAAGAAACGATATCAAATTACGCAATAAACTATATTTACCCATTCAAAATATACGACTATTAGGGTAATTATATACTAATAGCCACTGAAATTAGAATATGAGTTCGGTTTTCCAAGAACACCCGCTGCGTACGGCGGCGGCGGCGAAACGGGATCTAGAGGATGGGGAACTACAATAAACGGTGAAAAGAGGTTACCTGAAAAATTGAAGGGGTCGGCGCGACAGAAACGGCGACTGGGTCGTCGTTATCGGTGCGGCGGAGGCGGTTCCGACGCAAGAAAAAAAACATTCGGTGACTGGGTGTCTTTTTAGGTTAAAGGAAGGCGTCGGGGAAGATGAAAGATAACAGGGAAGATGAAAGAGAAGAGGGGTTATAAAGAGAGAAATGACAGTTGCAAATAAGTTCGTGGAGTGAGAGAAGAAAAGGAGAAATAGCAGACGTGAACTTATGAAGGGCAGTAAAGGAAGTTTTAATTGCGGTTTTTTTTGCATTTAAAAAAAAAACGGTTATCAGCGCATACAGCAGTTGTTAGCAAAAATAGAAAATATTTTCTCCTCCTGCTTAATGGTTAACCAAATAAAATGCGGCTAAGATTACAGGTTCCCAAAATTAATCGCACTACAACATTTAGTCTTACATTAATTAATACAATACTTATAAGCTAAACCCAACTGATAATAGTCAACTACATCAGAAACTGGTAATAGCTAACTAATAATAGTCAACTAATAATAGTCGAGTACAACGGATATGCCCGACCAAATTAGGGGTCTAACGAGAATTTTGCATGGTGGTAGTAAACGTAGAGGTAGCAGTGCTCACAGTACATTGGCTGATGCTTCAAACGGCAGTTGGGGAAATCAACAGCAATATGGGGTAAAGATGTATGACCATCAGGGACCACCATTTTCTTGATTAAATCCATTACTTGCTCCCCAATGGAGATCATATGCTCGATTGTTGCTCTCTAACCAAATACACGGTCTAACATATCCAACCCTATTGGGTAGTGCCCAACAGCGGTAACACAGATTGCCAGCATTACAGTCGCCGCTTCAACTCCACCTTTAGAGGCTTGGTTCAAAAACCTCAGAGAACCTTCGATATCATTAGCAGCCATTATTCTGCTCATCCCACGGAGATATAGTGCAATTGGATTACCTGAGTTAATCGCTGACTCAAATTAAAAAGGTAGGGTAGTCCTGAATTAAACTCGGCCTCTTGACGAAAGCTGATAGGTTAATAACCCTCGTCACAGATGGATCCTTGAATGTTTGGTTCAGGAACTTACATGATGACGCAAACGAGCAAGCGTCTTCTGCAAATACCGTACCAACTCTTTTGAATATGCCAATGACTGCATCACGAATATGCGGAAGCACATTATTTGCCACAGGATTGAGATTGGGGTTTGCTAGGCTCGAGATATTCCTACAAAACACAACAGAGAAAAGAAGTTAACTACCAAGTGACAGTAGCCACCTATCATGAAAAGTAAAGTATTTGGTGTCCAGTAGTTAACTACCCTTTTCAGAAATGAAAATGACTATTGAAAGTTAGTAGTCGATTAATATACGCAAATGGTAGTACTCTACTATGTGTGTGGTATAATTGAAAGGGTTGAAATAGAGATCTAGTGGGTGAAGAAGACAATGAAGCTGGCACACAGTGGAGCTGAAAATCCTTTAAAATGACGCGAGCACTCTTTATATTGACTAAAAAGAGCTAGGAAAGAACTGGAAAATTCAGATATAAAACTTTAAGATACAATAAGCGCGTTAGTGCGAGTGATAACAGAGTTCATGTCATTCACTGTAGCGAATATATATCCTATATCGACAACACCTCAAGGAGTGATAGACGAGACAAGATAAAAGCATATACCTTTCAGAATCTGCCGCCGACTGAGAATACGGTGATGTAAAAGACTCGCCGACCATGGTCGATATCCCAAAAAAAGACGACGTCGCTAACTTGCCTCAATCGCCGTTCGTCGAGAGAGAGAGAGTTCAGAAATTGAAGCTGAAAACAGTATTACTGGGTTGTGACTGTTTTGAAATTCAAAATGAATTTCATGGACCTAAGTTTCCCTATAAAGGCGTGGAAAGAGAAATTTGAATTAAAGGTAAAGTTGGATGAAAGAGAAAAATGTCAGATAAAATGAAAAATGTAAAGACACAAACGTTATAATACATCAAGCGTGTTATAGTGCAATGAAGGTGAGGGGGTATTGGGTACTTTCCACCCTATGAAAAAATTAGTTTTCGCGCACCTAATTAACGCTTGTCGTGTTGCTATGACACCAAATACTTATATTAAAATAGAAAGTTTACAAAGCATAAAGAAGAGGAATATTACATTAAGGAAAAAGATAGCAATCCAGCACCGGATTGAGAGGGTAATAGAGAAATATCAACTAGTACCATGTCCACACAGGATAATCGGGACTCAAGTGGAAGACCAAAGATCGAAGAGGAGGGGTCCATGAAAAAAGCCCATTTGTTGCAAAGCAATGCTTTTGTTCTTCAGAGAGGCGAGAAGGGATTTGGCCACAACTTCCGGGGGGGGGGGAAGAGTTGTTCCCTGATGAAATCTTTTATTTCTCTCGGTCCAAATAACATAAATACACCCTTGCCAAGCTTGGAGAAGCGCAAGAGAAATACTTGAATTGTTAAAAGCATAGGGGAGCTAAGATAGAACATCATTCCACGAGAGAGGCTGAGAAGAATGCCTCAGAATTCCAGATACCCGCAACCATATTACACGGGAGAATGGACAGTCAAAAAAGAGATGATCTCTTGATTCATTTCCTATTCCGCATAACAGGTATGTGGGGTCAACCTCAGGTGACCAAGCAGCGATGCGATCAAAGGTTCGATTTTGATTCTTTATGAACAACCAAGTTGTGAAAGCATGTCTCGGAATTGAAGCCTTATGCCAAACTAAAGGAGCCCAAGACGTTTGAGCATGAGATGGCCTTAGAGAGTTCCAAGTAAGCTTCAAAGAGAAGCTTTTTTTTAGGCACATTATCAATCGACCACACTGGAGTGTCCGAGGAAGAAGAAGTATTGATGGATGAGATAAAAGCAAGAAGAAGAACCTGTTTCTCAGATCGAGCTGTGGATAAGGACCAGCCAGTCTCAGAACGAACCTCCCCGACTGTAGAGAATAGAGGGATACCTAACTGGGTTGGACCATCCGGACCTAAAAAGTGGTAGAGAGGACCAAAAGAGGTCCAAGGATCCCACCAGAAAAATGTATCATCACCATTTCCAACATGTAATCTCAGAAACCTTACAGCCTTCAGGCGAAGCTTTAGAAGCTTCCTGAACATCCAAGAGAAAGCATAATTCCTTTCGTTAAGAGCCCAAAAGGTAGAAGAAGCCAGATACCTTTTTCTGATCCAATCGACCCAAATAGAACCGGCTCGAAAATAAATCATCCAAATAAGTTTCATCGCACAAGTCTCATTCCAGCAATCTAGGTTTCTCAGAC